GTCAAATAGTATTCAATTTTGAAGTCACCCTGCGCAAGAATGCCCAGGTATTAAAGTCTATTGCGGTGAATAATAACTAGAAATATAAATATAAGTAACACATAAAATACCGTATAATATCAAGTTAAATTTAAATACATATATTTTAACATCATTATTAATAAGTAAGAAGTATTTATACGATAATTTAAATTTCCCAATGACTACTTTATATTATCTCTCAAAAGTACGTGAATACCTGGGCTTTCTTGCGCAGGGTGACTTCAATATTGAATACTATTTGACTGATCTATTACATGAAATTAATATTGCCAGTGAGAGTACCTTGAAATATAGTATAAACTATAATTTATAGCTATTGTGTAAAATAATTATTATTCTGTACTGATCATTAATATTAAAATTATCTTATGATTGGATGTAACAAATTATTATCTTAGATATATTAGAAGTATAAATTATATATATTTTTATATTTTCAGACATTATATATATAAATCAAACTTATTTATATAATATAAATAAATTAATGCATTAATCAATTGCTACATAAAAAACATTTGATCTTAATACCTGATGTAACAAATCCAATAATTTGATATATTCAGTAAAAGTCTAAAAGGTCTTAACATTCCAATACAAATGTATGAATACAAAAGATTGTTAGTTACGAGTCATAACCTTTGAGATTTTTACTCAAAATATAAAATTCATAATTAGATTTGTTGCTTTATAAATATTATATAATTTATATCATTTTGCAATTGCCTATTGTGTCAGCACAAGTTTTGTATTCTATACGCATACCTGTACGTGTCATTGGCTGCCACTCCTAGAGTATACAGTATACCAGTGTATATAAACCCACCTAATATATTATAATCTTATGCTTAGATATAATTGCACACCATTCAAGGTGTATCGGTTGATTTTAATTTCTACGGTCCATATTATCAACCATTTATAATAACACAACACATAATATTTAAATGCAATAATATAATTTTTTGATAACGCAATCTTAGACAAACATGTATGAGCTCCAAGGCTCACCTACTAATATAACAATGTTGTTATCATACTTATATCTTATAACATTTCTATAGTCAAAAATTATGCTAATTTGTCATTTAGATATTATTTATATTTTTTGTAATATTACAGTAATTTACACAAAGTTTAATTGCTATTTTCTATGGAAAATATAATTTTTTATTTTATGCAATATTACTAATTAACTACTTATGGTAATATAGTTCTGATGTTTATAAAAAGTGTCCCAGCGTATTAGCACTACTTTAAATTAAAATTTAAAATATTTAGAAATTTATTATCTTAACAATGTTACAGAAAAATGTTGGAAATTTATTACAATTTTATGTGCAATTTATAATATATTAAGAAAATGCCTACCCTGGTCATAATTTTAGTTTTCATGGATGCACGCATGTTAGGTATAAAGATCAAATGTTTTTATGTAGCAATTGATTAATGCATTAATTTATTTATATTATATAAATAAGTTTGATTTATATATATAATGTCTGAAAATATAAAAATATATATAATTTATACTTCTAATATATCTAACATAATAATTTGTTACATGCAATCATAAGATAATTTTAATATTAATGATCAGTACAGAATAATAATTATTTTAAACTCAATAGCTATAAATTATAGTTTATACTATATTTCAAGGTACTCTCACTGGCAATATTAAAACATGCATTCAACCAATTTCATGCAATCAATTTTTTTTAATAAAGCTGAAATAAATTTGGAGTTTTTATTTAAACAAAATAAACATTCATGCCTTGTAACTAAAGTTATAACCAGGGTAGTCATTTTCTAAGTACTGTAGTTTTTGCTAATATAATTTAATTGAAACTATTTTAAATTTTCACTTAAAATAGTGTTAATACGCTGGGACACCCGGTATAATGTTAAATGTGCTAACAATAAAATTGGACATTTTATGAGCATTTAGTTGTAATTATTACATTAAGTATAATTAGTTTTATTTTATTGTACACGTATTTTACATTACGGTTGATAATATCATTAAATTATATAAAATGCAATATTGTTTAATAGCATTTTTGTTACCCAACACATAGCCCACACACAGTATACCAATACAAAACACACACACATACTGTTAATGTACTTTTGAAAACGTTTAGGTTGCTTAACAAACTGAAATTATTAAGATTTGAATTTATGAATGTAGAGTAATTATAATTATGTGAAACATTATTATGATTATTACGAGTATAATATACCAATATTAATTATATTGTATGCAATATAGCTAATATAAATAATATTACAGTATACTGCATACATTAACATACTATGGCTCCAGAGCCAAGCTAGCGTTGTAAGGCATAGTAATAATTTATCATTTAATACGACACTAGTATTTTTAATCCTTAATGAGTAATTTACTATAATAAAAATTTTGTTTATTTTATGCATGAATATTTTGATTAATCATCGATATTTTGAATTAAATATTAGAAATTATTAGTTTATGATTTAAATGAATGTTAACACATTAGTAGTTAAATGTGTATTTTTGTATGATTAATAAAATAATAGCTACCAATTTAAAAGTCACTAATTATTGTATTAATAGTTTATATTACTAGTGTTGTGTACTTTTAATAAAATTATAGATATTAAATCTATTTCTAAGCTATTTCTAAGATTTTAAAAGTTTTGTTAATGCATGGTATACTGTATATTCCATATTGATCATGACATTGTACAAATAGTTATAAATTATTACAAAATTATACAGTTAATTATAGGGTGCAGCACGTGACGTTTTATTGCTATTTTCTAGGAAAAATATAATTTTATATTTTATGTAATATTACTAATTGACTATTAAAATAAATATCATATATAATGTAGTACTAGGGCTGCCAAATGAAAAAGTTCACAAACGGGAGCTTTCAATAGTTTACATATAAACTCCCGGGAGATTTCCGGGAGATGTTAATAATGCATTATACAAAAATTTTCTTAGATTTTTAACCATATTATTTCTTACTATTAAATATATAAATATGATTGAATGTTGTCATTTTTTAATTTGATATTAGACCTTTGGATATAATTGAATAAAATTATATATTAATTAAATTATATGCATAATCAATCCATTAATTAAAGATTAAAACTTATTACAAATTTAATGACACATATAAATCAATTATATTTAGCTTATTTTAAACCTTAACATTTTTATTTAAAAATAGTTCTGAACAATATAAATGTATAAATATTCTCTGAAATTATGTTCACAAGTTTCAATTTATAAATACTGTAATTAATAATTACATTTAAATTAATCACTATTTAAATAGACAATCATATTAAAGAGGAAAATAATTTTAAAAATTCATCATTCAACAATTATATAATCTCTTATTTTTATTTAAATTTATGTTTTACATATATTTTCATTAAATCACAACTTTAATTTGTGTATAAATGTCTGAATTTTTGTCCGGGAAAATGCAATCTCAAGGTAGGCAGTCAACCGGGAGACGGGAGAAATACCTCAATTCCGGGAGACTCCCGGTAAAACCGGGATGTTTGGCAGCCCTATGTAGTACTGATATCTTTATAATGTTAAATATACAATATTACAAATAATGCTCGATATATAAGCAAGCTTGATTGTTCTAAAACTAAAATATATATCAAATTAATTTAAACGTGCTTTAATAGATAAATGAATGACATTTTGTAATCTATATTGATTACTTTTAAATTTTGGTTATTAATAATATTTATATGGACAATCTTGTAGACAAGTGTTAAAGGCTTAACATTTAGTGAAAACGTATAATAACAAGATTCAAGAGGGATAATTATAGTTTCATATGAAACAAAGTGCGTTAAATTCAAACCTCATGTTCAGGCACAAATAGCATTTGAAAATATGCATTTTACCCAAAGGTCTATGGGAATGCTAATGATAAAATATTTTGATATTAATTACAGTTCACCAAGAGTAGCTAATAATAATAATAAATGGCAATATTTTAAGGAATTCTATAAGTTAACCAAGGAGGTATTATTTTTAATCATTCTTAATATTGTATTTTTACTCAACAAATAATATTCTCATACAATAATAAACTCATTTATAACTCAATCTTAGTTATCATTTAGGTATTACTTCTGTTAATGTCATATAAATGTTATTTACAAAACATTTATTGCTATTTTCTATGGAAAATATAATTTTATATTTTATACAATACAACTATTTGACTATTTATGAAAATCGTAATGTTTCGCAATTTCTCTATAATGTGAAATATATTAAATATAAAGTTAGAAATAGTATACAGTACATTTCTTAGCGTTTATTAACTAACAACCTTGTTATTTCTCCTTCAATTCAATTCAATTAGATAGTAATTTATTGCACCTAAAATAGTAATGTTACATATACACGATAATTTATAGATAATTACATAATCATTACAAACATGATAATTAAATATATTTTATTTTATTTAAATTATTTTATTGCTAGTGATATTTTACGAATACTTTTTATGACTAAAAATATTTTTATTAAAAGTTTTAAAATCTTATGATTTTCCGAAAATAATTAATAAAAAACTTCAAACTTTTTATTGGTTTATAAAAGATTAAGTAATTGAAGTAATAATGTTTAATTTCTGTTAACATCAATATACTTTTTATGTCCACTTCTACGTAATCCATGTAAGTCCCTGTGATTTAAGTTATTTCCAGTTGACTCATTACACAGGGTATTTAAAAAAAATTATTTTTATAATATCTGAGAAAGCAATACGAAATACGTCTCCAAAAAATGCTTTAATTTTATCTTTCAATATTGCTTACATGTAAAGGTTGAAAGCAATATTGAAAGATAAAATTAAAACACTCTTGAGACTCATTTCGTATTTATTTTTCATATATTATTTTCCCGAAAATTAGTCGCAATGTCGGACAGAACTACGCGCGAGTTTGTGGCCAAACGGACTGATCTGAACAACAATATCATTGCGTTTGACATCCGGGGACTCACACCGGAAAGGGTTGACCGCAACCAATACGTACCCAACGCTCAGGCTATACTCGAACGGATGATTAGCGAGGTTAAAGGGGAGCGCCATAAGGACACTGCTAACTTTTCGGACGCGGTCACTTTCTCATTCCCCACGATCAAACAACACGATATACTCATTACGTTGAACTTTTGGAATGCTTTTGCATTGTATCTTGATGACTTCCTTGATAAGAAAACACACGATCAGGCTCACCATGTTGCGTACGTATCATATAAATATTAGTATTATGGCGTTTATACTAAATTAAATATAATATTAACAAATAACAAATGTAAAGTTTAACATGACTTTACATGCACATAACAAATAATATGTGCATGTAAAGTCATGTTAAACTTTATATTTGTCACACACACACTACCCTAGATAAAATAAAATGTGAACATGGACTAATTTTTAAACCTTTGTTGATATACATAGTTTATGGAAAACCTACATGATCAATCGCGTGTCTACCGGTACCGACTTTATGGACATAATGTACAATGTGTTGAGCATATTGTTGGACAACGTGTTTACACCTAAATTGAGACAGCTACATGATCAGTGGTACCTTGATTGGCTTTCATTATATGACATTACAGAAGAGGTTAAAGTGGGCAAGGACATTCCAACATTTGAACAGTACGATAATATACGGTTAGTATTTCTAGTTTTAATGTCAAAAAAAATTTTAACTTAATTTTTATGGTGAAAAATATAGTTAATACACATTACACATTAGTGATAGAAATTATGTATATTTTCCTACATATTTAACTAATGTTTTTACTAAACTAATACTTAAAATATAATTTGAAAAAAATCCCCGGATAAAATGTTTTAATAAAATTATGATCATTAATTATTTTTGAGATGTTCACCAATTATTGAGATAATGTAAATACCAACGAGTGTTACTATGTGCAAAAAGTGGTAACTAGTGTTACAACACTTTAACAAATTAATAGATGACCTACAACAATAATTTTTAATTTACTCATAAAATTGATTTTTTACTAATTAAATGCTACAAACTAGTGTTGTGAGTCATGCTTTAATTTGTTAGTGTTTCAACACTAGTTAACTCTTTTTGTACATATTGGCACATATCGTACTATAGATATAATTTATATTATTTAATACTTACATTATTTAGGCCTTTGGACATTGGTTTTCCACCATTGCAAATTTACTTATACGCATCACTGGGGTTTGACCCTGATGATTACCCCGATATCATCAATAACCCCAATTGGGAACTGTTTCATAAGTGGGCAGGACGTCATTTTTATCATAGCAATGATATCTACTCGAGCAAAAAAGAGATCATGCAACAACAGGGTAAATTCACCCTGATCTACATCATTATGTACAATGACAATTGCGACGCCCAGACAGCCAGCGATAAGGTGGTGGCTATGATACACGAGTCGTGGGACATGTCAGTTAAATATGCCACGTTGTTGGCTGAGCTCAACATACCGGTGCTCAATGAGTATACACATGCCGTAATGTGTATATTGAAAGGTAATGTGTACTGGTCATCGGTTACACCTCGCTATCAAGATATGAATAAATATAAGGATTACAAGCTTGGTGATAAGCTTATATTTGATTAAGCATGATTGATAATTCAAAAAAAGGTTATATGTTTATTGATTAAATTAATTAAATAACAAACATGCTACAAAATTATTACATTTATATACAATTTAATAATAAAAACTTTTTAATTTGTGATAACATTTAATGAATACTTATGTTGCATATAGCCAGGCTAGTGTAAAACTAAATGATGTTAATTGCATTAAAAATATATGCATAAATTTAATGTTTCAATAATTATTAAATTAGATCTTCTCGTAATAAAAAATGTAATATTATTTATCAATATACATGGTTATCAAACTATTTATTATTATATAATAGCATACTATTTAAAATTAAAATTAAAA